GAGGAATGCAGTCGATTTCTTTTGTTTTCCATTTGTTTTAATAATTATTATCTTTGTTACATTATTTTAATATTAATAAACTTCATACGTAAAACAAACATTTAATTATTTGTGTAGTTTTTTTAATTTTCTTTAATATTAACAAAATTGTTCTCTCGGTGTAGAACTCAAATTATCGATTTAATTTTAAAGTATATATTTTTTCGAACTAGGTACTTTTTTTATATTTTAGTCAGCACATTTTCGACGAGAATTGTTAGTTATCAGTATAACAGTTTGCGACTTTTTCCGTACAAACGTAAAAGGATGAATAGACTCTATAGAAACCTTCAGTAACGACTCAGTTTATTTAAAGCTTTTGTGAAAGTTTCATTTGTGAGCAAAGTCAACTTCTAGATTACTTTTATATCTCAGTTTAATTCCAAATGGCAAGAGTAAATAGAAACATGTTCTGAATGGATATAATTGGAATCACAGGATAAAAAAAATAAACAAATGTTTTATTCTATTACAACTAATTAAAAAAAAAAAATAAAGGATGCCGTGATTGATTTTCTTAATAATGCAAAAAATGGCATATAATTGAAAACTGCTTTTACAATTTACAATGCCTGTGACAAAATATTAATTAATGCTATCCTATTCTCTCTCTCCCACACACATATAATACAAAGACCCCGAACAGCCTCCAGATCACCTCGTATTCGATGTAAGCTTTGTTACTGCGTCACATCGCAACTATAATAGCACACTACCAATAGTAGAGTAAATTATGGGTGTAAAACTCTTTTGTCATCCACAGACAAAATAATTGATATTTAGTTAGTTTTACAATTTATTATCTGGCAAAGACTCCTAGTTTTCAGTTACATCATGTTCAAACTGCTTAGTTGCCTCTTATGACTTAAACTACTGATGTGAAAGAACGAAGGAAGAAATAAACCTTTATTGGCAATCAAATTTCTTCAATGATAAATGCTCAACCAAAATTATTATTGGAGAAGACAACTGACTCTTCTGGTCAATAGAAAATGTATAAGTGGACCATGGAGGGGACCAACATTATGTAGGACTCTTTTGGGTTGAGTTCTGTATGATAACATTAAAAGAGGTATCCCGATAATTTAGTCCTTTCTGAAAGTAGGACAAATTCCTTAAGGAAGCTTAAATGTATAGTAAAAAAAAATTCAAAAATGAATTCCTTATTATTTGATAAAACATATTGTGAAAAGATTTTAGACTTAATTAAAGACTACATTAGAAAACTTTCTGAAACAATTCCTCTACTATCGTGTTATTAAAAGGTATTATTATTAATAATAAGCATTATTATTGCCACATTTTGGAATAACAAAACCAAATAAATTACGTATTGCTTTTGATGCACCTGCAAAAATGTCTGCCTGTTAACTGACCCTGATCTTCATAACTCTTTGTATCAAATTTCTATGAATTACTGAGGCCCTTCATATAAGGCCTATGTCGCATCCCCATAGAATAATTAACCGATGCTGTCAAGTATCAAGGTGTCAACTGTGAAAACATACATTCAAAGTAATCTTAAAACTATAGATGACAACAAACAAGAAATACTCAGTGAAATTCTAGGACTTCTAAACCAACAAGATTAAAAGATCCATTTATTAAGGTAAATAATAGGATAGAACTTTAAATATACCTAATGTTTAATATTAAAATCAAATTTTACATACCCGTTTTGTTTTTGGTACAAGTAACTAATTATTTCTCAGTTTGAATTTTTGAAATTTTGTAATAACCGGGACGCCTAAAGACTACCACTTGACACTAAATATAACAACCAACTAGCATAAGGACCATTATTTGTAACTACTGATAGGTCTTTAGCTACTGTTGTTAATATACTATTAAGGAGTTAAGGCAGCACTGTCACCAGCCAAAAGGTCCTGAAGTCTAGAAAGGAAAATCAATTGCCCAGTAGCTAATAAAAACAATAAAAAAATTAAATTAAAATTATCCCTTAATAGCATAGTCGAGCGGTTCTTGGCAACTAGTTTAAGACTCTTTTAGTCCTAAGGGAATAGAAACGCTAAGGCTTCTCAAATGCTCAGGATATTTGCCTGGTTTTGAAAGGGGGAGGAGAGATTATTAATAAGTATTAAAAAATTAACAAATGTATATTTAAAATAAGTACAAAAGTGACTAGTATTCTAAAGAATAAATTACTCAAATTATAATTAGGGAATAAAGCACTATTTGATAATATATCCAAACTTTAAATAAAGATTTATGACACTAGATGAACACTTAATTGAACTATACAGTTTGGACTTATTAACAATTATAAATAGCACTGGAAAATTTTAACTACATAATAATATAAAAATATGTATAAGATAAATATGATAATCGGGACGAAAATGATGTAAAACTGGCATTTATATGAAAATCAATTTATTATTATCAAACAAAACACTTTAAAAATAAGTTGAAGATGTTTACCAGTAAATTCTTATATAGTAAATAAGCCTACAAATGACAATTTGATAAATTGTATTTAGACACAGTACATAGACGTTGCCAGACAAGGAGAGAAATATTGAAAAATCGACTACTAATGGCTCCAATATTACCCAACGCCGCGCCGTAAGCCAACTAATCCAGCATGAGCCAGGATATATAGGAAGAGACCTTGGAGAAGTACTATATATTATGAAATGCACACCGAAGATAGTTATGGTCAGACGAACAAATAAGTGTTATCACGAACTGCCAATCACGATTTCGACCAGTCAAAGTTTATGTCGCCATTAACCAGAGTATTTCAAGATTACGGAGAAGAAATTGACTACAATAATCTGATACCACCTCTATACTACGTAGATGATCAATAAATAGGCATAAATCCACATCCTAGAGTTGTATCACCACCAAAAGAACTAGAAGTAGACATGGAGCCAAAAATACAGTTCGAACTCATCCAGTCAATAGAAGCAAAACGTCTCTACACACAAAAAGAGATCATCGACCCTAAAATTCGGTACAGAGAAAAAGACAGTAGGAATATCGTCATCAGACAAGCAGCAGGAGTGAAAGCTAACAGCCAAGGATACTCCGTAGCAAACATTTTCAACACTAACGAGGTCCAATAACTAGCGAAATCATTCATGAAACAGTTATGGTAATGGTTTTCCGAAATAGGGACATTCATGAGTGGACTTAACGGATTTTACGTAATTTTCCGAATGATCCATTACGCTGGCAGCGTAATACTCAACAGCATGAGAATCTACCAAACTTTCGAATGCAGATTACAACTAATAGCCAGCATAGGAATAGCAATGACGTCATGGGTACTAAACAGGAACCAGTATCGCCAACCAGAACACGAGGACGACGACAAACAAATAATGGAAATGCAAAGCATGGAGCAAAGACAGTCTCAGCAAATGGACCAAAAACATTTGACAGAATCAAGAGAACAATTAGGTTGCAATACGAAACTGGACATGTAGGAAGGGCAGATGATGGTAGCCAACAAAGTAAAGGACGTGACGAGAAAGAAAAGAAAAAGAAGCAAACTAACCATTGTAAGATAATTGAATGTAAAAATTTATATGCTTAATTTTTAGGAAAATATTCAGAATAGGGAGTTCGAAAAATAATTGAAGTTCAATTTTTTTGTCGTATGTAATATGTAATAATTTGGCAATTATTTTATTTAATTCCTTTTTAAATCTTATACACATTTTCCAGTACTTTCATTCATTTGACCTAGGAATATTAATAACATTTATTATAATATCTAGGTAAATTAAATATATTAGTTAATAAAAAATTTTGAAGAAAGTACGTCTCAACTAATATTTAAATGATTTGAGAACGAGGGGAAGAGACAGTGACTGAGTGGGCTAGACGTTATGCTGTCAGACTACTCACCGACACCGATAAAGCGTATCTCGGGAATTTTAAAGTAATTTTTAAAGTTGTGAGTAAATAATAAATATCAGCCAACCGATTTTAAACTTGAAATTGAAACTACGTTTCGAGCAAGGTAAGCCTTCTTCTTTCACTATATTAAAATTGTGACAGTTCCCCTTTCATTTGCCAAATTATTTAGTTACCTCTATTCGTAGATTTTATAGGAAGTGATATAGGAGTTTATTTTTTTGACTTTGGTCGCTACAAGAACCAACGAGATTTCTGACATGTTGTGCCATTTATTCTTACAGTAGTTATCGGTATTTGATTACGTCGGCTGATTTACCGAACCAGGCGTGAACCTCAGGGTGTATCTTGTACCTCTAAAAAAATAGGATATTATTTAATAGTTTTTTCATATTTAAAATTGTTACATGTTTAAATATATTGAGTTAAATATATTGAGTTGTTAAACATTCACCTGTTTTTATCTTATGTGGAATATATATTCCATCCTTATCAGTTCTACCTTCCCCTTTATGTCAAAAGACACTTATTAGTAGAGTAGAGATGTGTAGAGTGCTATGTTTTACTCGTATTTATAATAATAAATAATATAAAAATCTAAAAATTAAAAATATGGTAGTAAAATGGTATCAGTAACAAAAAAATGGTAAAAAAAAATGGAAAATGGTATCTTCAAAACCTTATCGTAGTAGAAAAAATGGTATAAATATCATAAAGATGGTATACCTGACAACACTGCATGACAGTCTATAGACGGCCGTGACAATACCGATATTGACGTCATAAAACCTGTGCACCGCTTCACCTCTATTGTTACACCATGCAGTGAATAATTTTTTCTGGTAAGTAAATTTCTACTATAAACCTTTTTTTTATTTCTTTCATGGGAAGATTAATATGTTAAACTGGTATTGTTAGTTGCTATTATCAAAAATGTGCATTAGCCAATATCAGCCAATATTGGAAAAACAAAAAATGTTACGAGTATAAACCATTTTGATGCCTTTAATAATGGCGATTATAATAGACCGTTGAACGTTTTTATAATTAAAAAAAAAACACATTTTACTTACACAGAAAAATGATAAATAAAACACAACCACCCTCCGGGGTGTTCCAAAAACACATAAGTCCTTTCCTGACACGTCTTGCCCCGTTTATGGTGAAACACGTATTTCGTTTTAAACGCCTGATCGATGGGCAAATAAATAGGATAATACGGATCGGGGACGCCCCTAGGAGCATCGATAGGTGGCTCGACGATATCGTCCACTTCGTCTACTTCTTCGTCGACCATCTGGTCAGCCAATATTTTTTCCTTTTTTTCTTTTTTGCGCGATCTCTTGATGGGGGTCGGCACCCTCCGGTGGTGCGATTCGCCGTGGCGAGGGGTGCGAGGGCCGCGGAAGCGATGCAAGAATGGGAGTTTTTCGCAGTAGTCTTCATCTTCGCTACCTGTTTGTTTGCACCTTGAAAAAAAACAAAATAAAGTGTTAATTAATAACTAAAATAGTCACTGGTACAAATGTAAATTTAAATAGTCAATGATTAAAGAGATGGCTCGATTTCTTTGCTTGTAAAGTGCATTTTCCTTTCCATCTATATAACAATTTTATGTAAATATTTTAAATTAAAAAGACCAGAGATGTAACTATATATACAGTATGGTTCAAATGAAAGGAATAAATTCATTATAATGGAAGTAGTTGATTTTTCGAAAAAATGCTCGGACAGGTCAATTTTGTTTACTCAAAGCGCAATTTTTTAAATAGAATTAAATTTTCCCCCACTTCCCGTTTTTGGGCAGTGACGCCATTGACAATTTTTTTAAATAGTAACCCCAATTTGTTTTTCTTGATTTTGAAAGATCTTTCAATTTCCTACTCGGAAACATAATATTTGAAATATCTGATATAAATTATTTTTTGAATAAAAGTCATTTAAAGATCCCAGGCTAAGGTTAGTCTGTTTTGACTACCCAGCTCTATTAGGGCTTCCTAACAGTCCCACACAAGCTTTGAGTGTACCTGCATGGAACTGAGTGCTTCTAACGTGACTTGACTATCTGAGTATATGACAATGGTTATTCCATTTACCTTCTGTCTTAATACCTCTTTTGCGCAGTGATGTTTTGCTGCTATTTCTGCCTAGACTACTGTCGCATGTTTTCCTAAACTAAGTGAGATTCTTGTCTTTGGCTTGGTACTATATATACCTACTCCTGAACCTTCATGGATTTGGAACCGTCTATATACCAGGTGAATTCCGCATGAATAGGAGGTCCTCCCGTCCACGCTTCCCTGTCTTGTATACTTACTTTATATTGCTTTTGAAAGCTATTCTTTGAGAGCATTTCGTCTGAAGGCATTTCCATTATTTAGTCGTTCTCCAACTCTTTATATAACTCGCTGTAGTCGCGTCCATGCAAACTGCTTATGGGTGATGAACTTTTCTGCAGTCTGTGACAGACCTCGCTTTGCCTTGAATAAATATATTATGTAGTGGGGTTAGGTTTAGCATGACTTCTATAGCTGCTGTTGGGGTCGTTCTCAAATTAATGGTTAGTCCACAAGACTAATTTGAATGGCTGACAAATTAAAAAAAAAGCTAAATCTAAGAAAATATGCATGTGTTCATTTTAAGGAAGAGGATTTTATAGATGATATTCGGGCGCGAATCATGAAGACTGAACCAAAACTGAAATTAATGGCTAACGGTAACATTTTGGAATGTTATTCTGCAATCATCATTTAAAAGCAGATGAGATAGTTTTTTACGACCACAAAGAGCTTTACTTAAGTTATTGTAAAAAGGGTTTGCTACAGGAAATTTTTAGTAAAAATGAGTTACAAATAATTTTAATAAAGAAAATAAGAGCCTGTTGGACTACACAAAAAATTTCTAAAGCATTCACGATAAGATGTTTGAGTAAAAGGTTACCTTAGAAATATTCACTGGCCGGGGATTTCAATTTTATATTTTAGATTTACAGGTAAATATTTTAAGATACCTCGTACTTAAATATAGATACTAATATATTTTCAAATCATTAATAATTTCTATTATTTCTTCATTGGTTTCGTTTTACTTTATTAATTACGTCATTGTTTGTACTGCTCCTATTTCTTTCACTCGACTTTTTCATTTCAAGTTTTCTTGTTTGTATGATGTTAAGCCAGTTTCCTATTAACTTTTCACGATACGTATACTGCAAATCCTAAAGACTTCATTCTGACCTCTCTAAGTATCTCTTTAAATGTTGTCGTCCATAAAACAACATTCTTTACAAATAATATATAAAAAGTTAACTGTAAAAACCTCAGAGGCAGAATTTTTATTATATATTTTGTTAATTCGTAGCGTATTTATTTTTAAGTGTTATTTATAAGCAACATGTCAGTTATATTCCCAAAAATACATTGTGCATATGAGAAATACCGTTCTGCTTATTTTGCGTGATTTACCTTAACAATAGAATGCGAGTGCAATTCTGCGAATTTGCATGTTTATATTAATATTATAATTCAGCTCATAATTTAGCTTTGTAGATGAATAGAACTTAAAATTATTGTTTATTTTTCAAAAATAAAGTTTTTTAAAAAGACATCGTAATCCTACAATCATTTTAACTTGTCTATCATATATATTTTGATTTTAAAATAATTTTAGTAATACTTTATTTAGAATCTACACAGGGTGTGCCACTAGGGCGTTATTGTTCAATATTTCAATTTGTGTTATAGATCCGTAAACAAGTATTAAATAAAAGTTATATGGATTGAAAAAAATACGTATTTTTGGATATACAGGGTGTTGCGTTTTGCCTGACAAATAGAAATGTATATTTTTTAAATTGCACACCCTGTATTTTATTTCAGTTTTATAATGTTTTGGTAATACTGTTTTCAAGACTAGATTTTTAATATTACAGGGTTGCCAAGCAATTAATTTTTTTATGAAATTAGAGAATGATGTAGACCCCAAATTAAATTAACATAATTTTGGTAGGTTTACAATGAATTAAAAATTGTTTAAACTACAGACTAAGAAGAAACTAAGCTAACTAATAGTGGTGATAGAACTGGTTTCTTTTATACAGAGTGTTTTGAAACATGTCTTAAATATGGCTAATTTTAAATTCAATTTATTCAATTTTTTCAAATGAAACACCCTGTATATTATTTTAGCATAAAATTCCTTATAAACGTAGCTATCCAACCATATCAACATGTTAGCCAATAACACAAATACACGGTGTCCCTTCAGTGCGTAATTGATCGATGACTGTTTTATTATTGGAAATAGGAAAACAAAATTAATACAAAAGTTCAGAAAGTTGTAACTTCGCGTTTGGACACACCCTATATACAATATACCAAATGAATGAAGTCAATTGTTTGGCGATGTGAAAACAATCAAATATGTATAACTACCTGCAGGGTGTTTTGCTTTAAAAAGTATAGGTTTGGGATGACCTCGTTTATGGAACACCCTGTATACAACTTGTGTATTAAAGATTTCTTTATATTTCCAAAAATAAAAAAGGTATTGGTCAATTACGTATATGTGTTATTGGCTAATATGTTGGATTGGCAAATTTCTAAGGAATGCTATTCTAAAACAATATTCAGGAAGTTGCATTTGAAAAATTGATTAAATTCAACTTAAAATTAGCAATATTTAAGACATGTTTCAAAACACTCTGTATAAAATATTCCTAGGTATAAACGAAATACTTTGTATATCCAAAAATATTTTTTAAAATACGTATTTTTTAAATCCATATAGGTTTTATTTAAAACTTGTTTGCGTATCTATAATACAAATTGAAATATTGAATTACCCACTGAATAGGACACCCTGTATATTATCCCTCATGAAAGTTTATTAATTTTTTAAGCATACAATTTGATCCGAAAATAATAAACTTATCAGATGTAGGAGAATTAGGTATGTATAAGAGGAAAGAAATAGGACCTTATTAGAACCTTATGATATCCATTTTAATTTTCATAAAAAATCTATGAAAATCTATAAAATCCAGAAAAATCTAGAAAAATTCAGAAAAATCTAGAAAAATTCAGAAAAATCTACAAAAATTCAGAAAAATCTAGAAAAATCAAGAAAAATCTTGAAAAATCTGGAAAATCTATGAAATCTAGACAAAATTAGAAAATCTAAAAAATTCAATACCAGAGATTAGTAATTAATAATTTCAAATTCAATTGATAATTTATTCAGTTAATGTTTGGTATTTAGTTACGACATCTAGCGGAAATCCTACAATTCTCTAAATTATTTGTAGATTTTTCTTCTGGGCAATTTTAGTCATTGAAATATACCAAATGAATGAAGTCAATTGTTTGGCGATGTGAAAACAATCAAATATGTATAACTACCTGCAGGGTGTTTTGCTTTAAAAAGTATAGGTTTGGGATGACCTCGTTTATGGAACACCCTGTATACAACTTGTGTATTGAAGATTTCTTTATATTTCCAAAAATAAAAAAGCTATTGGTCAATTACGTATATGTGTTATTGGCTAATATGTTGGATTGGCAAATTTCTAAGGAATGCTATTCTAAAACAATATTCAGGAAGTTGCATTTGAAAAATTGATTAAATTCAACTTAAAATTAGCAGTATTTAAGATATGTTTCAAAACACTCTGTATAAAATATTCCTAGGTATAAACGAAATACTTTGTATATCCAAAAATATTTTTAAAATACATATTTTTTAAATCCATATAGGTTTTATTTAAAACTTGTTTGCGTATCTATAATACAAATTGAAATATTGAATTACCCACTGAATAGGACACCCTGTATATTATCCCTCATGAAAGTTTATTAAATTTTTAAGCATACAATTTGATCCGAAAATAATAAACTTATCAGGTGTAGGAGAATTAGGTATGTATAAGAGGAAAGAAATAGGACCTTATTAGGACCTTATGATATCCATTTTAATTTCCATAAAAAATCTATGAAAATCTATAAAATCCAGAAAAATCTAGAAAAATTCAGAAAAATCTAGAAAAATTCAGAAAAATCTACAAAAATTCAGAAAAATCTAGAAAAATCAAGAAAAATCTTGAAAAATCTGGAAAATCTATGAAATCTAGACAAAATTAGAAAATCTAAAAAATTCAATACCAGAGATTAGTAATTAATAATTTCAAATTCAATTGATAATTTATTCAGTTAATGTTTGGTATTTAGTTACGACATCTAGCGGAAATCCTACAATTCTCTAAATTATTTGTAGATTTTTCTTCTGGGCAATTTTAGTCATTGAAATTTTTCCCTGCATCTGTAGTGTAACCGAAATCCTTTATAGAAAAATCTAAAAAAAATCTAGAAAAATCTAGGAAATTCTAAAAAAATCTAGAGAAAACTAAAAAATATTTAATTATCTAAAAAAAACTGGAAAGGTATTGAAAAATCTAGACAAATCTAGAAAAATC